TTGCCGTGTATGTGTTTGTATTTTTTGCACACTGGGACAGTTGCACTCTGAATCTCGTTGTACTCTGTGTATAATGACAATAAAAGGCTTTAACTTTAACTTATAAAGCAAAAAGCTCCAGCTACCAAATGCATCTCTTGGTAAGATAGTTTAGCATTTACACTCTTTTCAATACAACCTTCTGTTTAAAAAAGTAAATCCTGACTTTCCCCCTCTGTTTCCCTGACCTTTAGTTAGAGTGTTGTCAATGACGAACAGCTTCTCATGTCATCACTGAACTTTGGCCAATCAAAAAATCTCTTCTGTACGCATCACTTGTGTCTTATTTGAAGCACTTACAATGGTTTTTGTCTTATTGACAGCTAATGCACTTGCAGGATTCTTGCTTTCTTGAGGTCTTCATGGGTAAATGCACTTATTGTAAGTTGGTTTAAGGATAAAAGCAAGGTAATGTAATCCACTGAATGAACAGAAATCCTTGGAGCTGTAGGTCTGTGTCTGACATTGTAACACACACTGCAAAGAGTATATTGATCGAATAGCTCAGGACACGCATTAAGTGAGCTTTGCTGAAATAAATAATGATATTGATTTGGTATATTGATTTGAACTAGCGTTTCTATAAACAGTATCTTCTGTTCAGTACATCCACTCATACATTCATCACCAACTACCTCTTCCTTCATTTATTTACTCCTTATATCTTAAACAATATTTCGGTAAAATAAACAATACATGAGCAATTCTACATAAATGGCAGAGGCCGAATAATGGTGGCAGTAATTGTTTTCCAGGCATTTAGTTATATATAAACTGAAGACAATGTTAAACGTCAGAGTGGTATTGGATACTGAGCTTGTTGAAACACAACCAATCTAATATAAATGGCAGAGGCAGTTAAGAAGTTATTGTTTTCTAAGCATTTCATTATACATATTGAAGAATATGGCCAACGACAGACAGGTTTTTAGCTTTATTTTCTACAAGGACAATTCAGAAAAGCAGACACTTGCTCTTCTGATCCTCTTATGACGTGTTAGTTTGAGAATAGAGCGTTGTAATATTGCGCTGAGGGTTAGAAGGTCACTCACCAGTCTGTATAGCTCTGTGACGCTGATTTCATCGGGGTCCACCATGCTGAACTCCCGCCTGGGCACCAGGTCCAAGCAGAGCTGCCTGAAAGATTGTGACACAAAGCGGTGAGGAAGGGAATTAAATACAAATCAGACACATACAGTATGAGGGTCGTTTGTATCCTAGTGTGTGGCGGGGGGG